CCTTTTAATTCTATTCTTCTTTGGAGCACTTCACTTTTTGACAAGTACAACAAACACAAAACAAATATAGGAAAAGGTAAAGGTTTATTCCATGCTGAACAGAGAAGAAAAGAAACAGCGTTTCGGCTGTGGAGCCTTCCTCGGGGTGTCATACAGACAGCCACGAGGAAAATGGGAGCACTGATGGGTCTCTGAGCACCTAGTAGCCCACTCTGCCCATATAAAGGCAGTAGTGAAAGAGGTACTTAATTATTAGACATCCCAAGTGATAGGGATTCTTCTATGGTGTGCTGTCTGCCTGGTGCTCAGGCTCCTGTCCAGACCCAGGTTGGATCCAGCTGTAATGGTCCATGTTGGACTAAAATGGCATAAGAAGATTAGGCTGTTTAGTCCGCAAGACAAATGACAAATTTAAGAGTTAGCATGTAAGCTGAGAAGTAGCATGACTATGATGATCTTACCTACTGAGCCAAAGGAATCCCAAGGAAGCAAGAGAAATATGGAGATTTAACATGGCGCTAAAACACTGGTGCAGGGAAGAGAGGTTTCTGATGATGGGGAACTGGGGGTACTTATGTCACAGGTGGAACCAGAGGGGCATCGACATAGTGGGCATGTGTATATGTAGAGTAGATGAGGAGTACACAGTTCTTATGGAACTGTAGGCAGGGAGCATAAAACAGACCAGTTCTGTGGGATTAGAAAAAGCCTTTGACAACATTACGAACAAATGTTTATACCTCAATGCCAGGAGCAATAAAATGCATGAACTTGTAAGGTGGTGGTGTGGGGCTATATATCAAGTTTAGGAAGAACAGAAGGGCAGGGAACAGAAAGACAGCCAGGATATAATTAAGGGAATAGACATGACAGGAGGCTAGGACCCCCAAAAAAGAACAAAGCAGGACCTCAAACCACCAAAGCAGAATTAAGGAAAGCATAGAGAAGGGAAGAGAAGTGTTCTGTGATGTAATGCCTAAACTGTGGGTCATTGCAACAGTTGGATAGAAAGCTGGAGGAATCTTGTTTAAGGGTATCTGTGTAGGTTTATGTAAGGGTGGAAGGCCTTGGATGACCAGCGGCCAGGTTGCTCAATGAGATCTTCAGGAAAGCATTGATGAGCTGCTGACAATGTAGCTTCAATCCAGAAGGAACGTCCAGAATTGCCCAGCAGCAAATCCAGTCCTTGTGATAATGTCTCGCAGAATATAGAGAAACCAGTTACAAACAGTACAGGACTTTTTATTAGGGAAAGGGGGATTAATGAGAGAGGCTCACTGAGAGATGCTGAAGTAAGCTGAACATAAGGAGCAGAGGTTCTTGATGTAAGTAGATTTCATTGTTTATAAGCTGATCTTAAAATGTTCCTTCCAGTATAAGAGGAAGGATGAGATCAAAGATGTAAAGTTTAACATAAAAAAAGGTGGAAGATCTGACAACCTTTCCCAGTGATTGAGTAAGAACTGGGGTGTTATGTGCAGCTCTAGATAGAACAGTACTTTGAGCTAGCTGGAGGAAGTGACAGAAAGGGTGAATTTGAGAAACACAATATCTGAATAAGGAGGAAAAGGACAGGGATCCTGCTCGGCATTCAGGGCTAAGATCTTAAACGTCTGAGACTGGAAGTGAGAAAGAGAATCTACGATATTATGTCTTATTATATTATATTAAAAAATCACCTTTATTAATTTAAGCCTCCGTGTGGGTTTTCAAATTAGTTCAAAATCTATAATCAGCAGCTTTAAACCCTCTGAAATGGGGCTTATATTTTGTACTATAACTGTATATGTAGATAATACAAAAAATATATATGTGATGTGATGTAGGAAGGTGATTCTAAATATACAGAAAAGTATTGTTGGGGCACAAAGCCAAACAATTTGGTCGCATTATATTTCTAGACGATTTGGAATTTCTATGTTATGTCATATGGGAAATACTGAAGCAAAAATTTGAGGTGAATGATACAGTTAATATTTGATTCTTAACACAGTTCCTAAAAGGACCAGCTATGCTAAATGATCTGATTAACTTCATCTTTCCAGACAGCCAGGATATAATTAAGGGAACAAACATGACCGACAAAGGGAAACTTTAACATGTATGCGATTAACGTATGTAAGCTCCAGTAAACAGAAATAAAAATTAACGTAGAGCAACACAACTGCAATGGCACAGCAAGAAATAATGACCATTGACCTGTGCAGGTGAAAGATGAGAAGGGCTTTGTGGACAGT